ATCACATTCAAACTTTCAAATATCATGCAATATGTGAAAAGAAGCATAACAACTTCTGAACCCAAAAGGCTGTTTTAAACATCTTATTTATTTGAAAGTCTTATTTTAATCATGCTTAGATTGTTCAAGTAAACTACCTCTTATGTGGAGAGAAGGAAAGTTTGCCTAAAGAGCGGATTCTTCATAAGCACTGGATCTGAGAATACTGTTTATTTTGTCCTTTCATTTTTTTTCAGAGTGCTCTATGGAAATAAGATCACAGAGATTCCCAAGAGCCTTTTTGATGGGCTTGTATCCTTGCAGTTACTGTGAGTATTATGCTATTTTCTTTTGTTGTAACAGAAAGTACACTGAAACTCCAATAATGTGTTCATTGTTAGTTGAGAAGACTGGCATATAAATCCAACAAAATATCAAAAGTCATGATTGTATTGGCAAGGTAGTCTTAAGAAAAATTGATGTTTGGTAATATATAGATCAGTTTGTTGATGGATATGTCTAGCTTGAAATAATCTTGCAGAACCTTATTAAATCATGGGATCTTGAGCATCCACAAAGTTATGAAAAGATACTGGCCTTGAACAGATTACTATTTTGGTAAACAATAAATTCAAAGTCCTCTGAAACGGATATACTGTGTGGCTCCAACCAGATATGGTTGACCCCTTTGTAATACTTAATTTTAATTTTTGTAAAGGAATTTTAAGTAAGAATTGTTTCTGATACCTGATAATTTTCTATAATCACATTTGCAGTTTCAGTTTTATTCAAGACATGCTGAAGAACTCTCTGAAATTGTATACTGTTTTTGCTGGTATCTGATGTAATTGTGTTCTTGTTTCCCATTGTATATTATGGCTACAGTCTTTGAAACCATTGCAAAATAGGCTGCTATTGTAAGTTTACAGACTGAGATATAGAATTTATGTCACAGAGATTTATTTTTGAATTAGGATATGGACAAATACCTTGCAAAGATAGCTGACAATTCCAATTTTATTCTAGTGATGAACAGTTCATTATATATAGCTTCTCTTCCTGTTGATGTGTTTTGCTTCCTTTCATAAAAATAGATCTATCTGTGATAGCTCACCACTATGAAATGATTATTTTAAAAGAATTTGATATCCTGAATCTCAAATAAAACTTATCTGAAAAATGGAACCTTAGGAAACCTTTGAATTTGTCTAATGATTGAGTAGAAAGCATGCAGCTAAAACCTTCTTCAAAGACTGTGAATGCATATTATACATGATGACATTCCCAATGAGAAGCAAAACAAAAGCTTCACTCATGTGCTGTTCTGGCTAGTATGAAAGTAGAAATAAAATACTATTAAAGTGGCTTTTAGGATGCATATACAGAGATGGATATACACCAATAATTGGCATGATCTGAATACCAGAATAATTAGAGCCAAGGATATATTACAAGCCACATGATTAATGCACTTTTAAATGCCTTCAAACTTAGATTTGCCCCTTGTGGCTGTACAGCTTTGTTCATTAGATGTAATTGAATTGGGTGTAAAAGGTTTTTAATGAAATAACTTGTAATTTCTGATTGCATGTTGATCTTTTTTATGAATTGTTCTGGAGTAGGATTGGAAGGTGGTTGTATATTATTACTGGAAATCCTCCTCTCTACCCCACCATTATGCTAAGGTTTTCTATTCTAATTTTTTGGTTAGGATTATATCCCTACTCTTTGTTATTTATTTTTTTAAGCAGTGTGATTGGACTTGTTCATGTTGTTAAAATGCATTTAAATACCTCAGTGGTATAAGTGTAACTTTTAATATGTCCTTAAGGTTTTGCAAGTGTTTACTTTTTTTATTTGCTAGATCTTTGCATGACAAGAACCCACTGTTGGACAGTTAAGAAAGTTTTTTCTGATTATATCTAATTTAGTACTTAATAAGGTATAATTGGATTTTTTTTTCTTATTAGTCTAGACAAAAGGATAAAAAAAGTCTAACTGGAAGCCAATTTAATTTATAAGCTTTCTCATGAGTTTTTTCTGATTATATCTAATTTAGTACTTAATAAGGTATAATTGGATTTTTTTTTCTTATTAGTCTAGACAAAAGGATAAAAAAAGTCTAACTGGAAGCCAATTTAATTTATAAGCTTTCTCATGACCATTAAGGCTTTTTCAAGTAAGCACAGTATTCAGAAAGAGGTATAAAATGTAGTGTTTCTGTTATTACTTATATACAACACTTTTATGCGTTGCTAATTCCACAAATTTGGTTAAGATAACTAGTACTATTTCAGGAATTTCCCTAATAAACTCCAAAGTATATTGTAGCTGTGAAATATTAAACAATATTCATGAAGGAGCATGGATTAGACAATGCAGTGAGATGGGTGGTGACAAATTTGAAATATACAGTAAATCAATCAATAAATAATTCTATGACATGTAGTATTCACATAGCAATACATGAATGGTTGTGGTACTTTTAATATGGAATTACAGGTAGATGATACCTGTCTCTTTTTGAACTTTACTACTTTGGAGTGCTTCACCTTGCCTTCTTACAAAAGATGGTAAATTCTATTTCAAAAAAATAAATGAAAGAAAAAAACTCCATCCAAATATAATACATACAAGTAAAAATCCCAATGTATTTTCTCACTGAATAATAAATAAAATAATTGCATGCAGATGTTATAACCCATATATTACTGTTCTGAATTAATTTTTCACCTTAGAGCATAAAGTTGTTTGTCTCTAAATGTAGAGAAAGCATACAGTATATGATCTACTATATAGAAAAAAAATAACATACTAATTTGCTATAGCTGTCCAACATAACATTTTTGTTGTTATTGTTATTGTTGTATGATTTTGGATCTACTTGTGTGCTGTTTCAAAATGAACATAATGAGATCTACTGTTAATGCAACAGGCATATTGAAGGACATTATATTCTTATTCCCTGCTGGACTCATTTGCAGTTTACAGTAATAAGCAGAACAAAAAAAGTCAACACTGCCCATGTGACTGACTCTCTCTCTCTCTGTGTCTTACACACACACAAACACACATATCATATGAACATTAGTATAACTGATGTTAAAACTGTGTGCCACAATATTTTATATTAATTGGTAGTCTTTACAGTGAAAGTAGTTATACAAAGCATTATGATTTGGAGTTTTATGGTATCTCACCCAATTGCTATTTTTTTTTTATTATTATTATTATTATTATTATTATTATTATTAT